TTGTGAGCAGCAGAAGCAGCAAGATCGCTCATGCTGTCAGAATACCTAAAATGAATCACCTTTACCAATCTTTTCATAGAAATTCAAAATCTCAAAATTGTTAATTAATATTTACATTATCTGCAGATCCCTCCAACCCATCAGAGTGAATCTGCAATTAATTATAACCTTTTACTTTGTGAAAGTAAGTGGAATAAATATTGATTCCTTTCAATAGGACTCTGTGACCCCATGTGCTTTTTTCTGTTTTGCAATGTGGTCTGTCTGAATCAGTTTCTAGGAGACCAGAACATTTTAATTGTTGCACCAGGAAGAAACAGATGAAGCATAAAAAATAATATAGGAAGTGACCTGTTATACTTTCAGTGGGAGAATAATTTCAAAAGCTTTTACAATGTTTGTCTTAGACCATGGATAAATTACCTGCAGTTTTCAGGACAATAACACACTATTATATAAATAATTCACTACCATAAATTTAGGGTTGCTAAACATATTTTACTGCCAAAAATATTTCGGGCATTCATGACATTTGAATTTCTGGTGTACTTGGAGATCAAAATGGCAATAATGTCACTTATTTAACTACCACAAGTTGTGACAAGCTGTGTATTCAAGTAATCTTGAAATATCTATCCATCCATCTTCTAACTTTCAGGTCTGGGTGGTGGTAGTGGGACACTGGGACTAGAACCTCTTCCAGGCAGTATAGAGGAGAAGGGAACAGCCTGGATGGGATGCGTAAGCAGCATACTCACACACATTCATACAGTATGAGTTATAAGTTAGAGATTCCAGTTAGCTTAACTGCATGTCTTTGGCCTGTGTGAGCAAGTCCAGATGAAGTCTTTTGAAACACCACACTATCCCTTTTCAAATGTTTTCAAACGTTGAATTTCCGTTCGTTGGCAGTTCATTGTGGCAACGCAATCATATAAACAATAATCAGGTCCGAACTCAGATACAGCTCTGGAAAAAATTACCATAGCAAAATTTTCAGTTTCACCCATTTCTCAATTTATGGGCATGCGCCTGTGGAAAATGCACATTTTTTTTTGCAAACTCCAGCCTGGTTCTTCCGTGCTTCTCATTAATGAAGGGCTTCTTCCTTGGTTTATGGGTCTTCGGTCCTGCTTCTAGGAGCCTGATACAAACTGTCCTAGCAGTGCACTTCACACCTGCACTTAATGTTTCCCATTCCTCTTGAAGGTCACTTGAGGTCATCCTCTGATTTTTTTTCAGCCCTGTTGGATAAGTTGACGTTCATCTCTGGCTTTAGAAAGTTGCTTTAGCCCTCTACCTGGCTGGGTTCTGTTCATTCCCAGTGTCTCTTGCTTCACCTTGTTCACTGATGTCTTAGAAACTTTGAGCCTGGAAGCAGCCTGCCTCACATTTATAAATGCAGATTTAAAAAAAATATATAGAGTGGTCTCTTAATTTTTTCCAGAGCTGTATTTCTGAATTGTGTAAGAAAAAAAGGAGGATCCAGAGGAAATTTGTGTTATATACAAACATGCAAATGCCAGATAGAGTAGACATGCTCATTCAGTTGTTCATTCCATACTTGAATGAAATGAGAAAGTTCAACAACAAGTGATCGTCATGCTAAATTGGAGCTTTACTGTTAAGCAGTGTGCTGGCACTGAAAGAATGAAACATTGGGGCACCCATCCATCTTCTGAAACCACATATCTTATTCAGGGTCATACAGGGTCCAGAGTCTACCCTAAAGGCTACAGGCACAAAGCAGGGAACAACCCAGGATGGGGCACCAACTGATCACAAGACACACTCAGACCTAGAGGCAATTTGGTGCTTCCAGTTAGCTTCAGCTGGATTTTAGACTGTGGCGGGGGGAGAAACTGGAATACCCAGAGGGATCCCCACAATGACTCAAGGAGAACATGCAAACTCCACATAAAAGGAACCCTGACAAAGATTCAAAACCAGGTCCCAGAGGTGTGAGGCAACAGTGCTAACCAGTGCACCACTGTGCTGCCCCAGCATTGGAGCATAGTTTAGATATTTCTATCCAACCTTAAATTCCCACTTTGGGCATTTTTAACAAACAGATTGACCCATATCCACACAGGGGATCTCACACATGTTTTGCATCCGCTCAAGCATCTCATTGACAGCAAATTTGCGCAATTTGCCTCATTTGTTTTGGGTATTTGTAACACATTAGCCATTTCCTAACCTTTGTCACTGAATCACAAACCACTCTTGTAAACTGCTAATACAAGAAGTCACTGTGATTTCCTCCTCCAGTCATGATAAAATGACTAGTGGTATAGTACATATTTTTTTATATAAACAAAAACCCTATTTTTTTCTCAACAATGAATGTAATCAGACAGACATGTTTATTGGTGTGGTGGGCGGTCGCGACAGAGGAGACCCCGGAATGCAGTGTCCAACTGATTTAATATTCCAGCCAGCAATAAGCAATGTTAAAGGGAGCAGACGAAGTCATGGTAGTGAGGCAGGCAAAGGGTCGATGTCCAGGAAGGTCAGTCCTACATGGAGTGACGGGACAAGACGACGAGGGGAAGGGAGACACGAAGCTGATGGAGGAGCAGGGCAGGATGGAGCAGGCAGGAGAAGGCGGGTGAATGGAAAAGGCGAGGTAGGCAGGGCAGGCAGGGCAGCAGGGCAGGACAGCAGGCAGGGCGATCGGGGAAGACAACAGACAGAAAAGTGCTCAGTATGGCACATTAGAACAATGGCAACAATACTTCGCAATGAACCTGGGTCTTAGACAGCTTTAAGAAGTGGGGCAATTAGCTGACGATTGCCTGCCAGTGCATGGTCCCACCCTCGTGGGTGTGACAATTGGCTGGTATTTTTAATTTGATTTCTTGAAACTTTAATTTACTGTATCACAAAAAAGAAACAAGTATTTAAATTTTACATTATAATAATAACTTTTATATTTCTAAATAAAAGAAAAAAAACATTTGTATATCATTGCGAATGAAGTATGAACTCCCTGTACATTGCTGTGAAGTGTCTATCAGTGTAATAAGATGCAGTTATTATACATTTCATATAAGGGAAATATATATATACACACACATTCCTGAGGAAATAAGTGAAGAGGTTTTGCATATAATTTGTCAGAAACTAAAAATTTGACAAGAAACTAGAAATTTGGTCAAGAAGTTCTGAAGTGAAAATTAAATTATTGCTTCACAGTTGATACAATAAAAAATTCCCACATTCACTAACCTGAGCTGTGTAATACTTAGATATGAAATGATGTAATAATGTAAATATTTGGTATTCCTTTAAATAAGAAGCAAAATCTATTCAAAATAATATAACTGATGACATATGTAATATTCTGAGAAAGACGATCTTGGTTGAATTTTAAGTTTGAAGCATGGAGGTTTCAAAATATGTGAAAATATATCCATCACCACACCTGAGAAGATAGAGACACAGTAGGAGGTTTCACTTGTAAGACTGAGTCGAAACGAAACGTGAAAAAGCTTTAAACAGCACTGGTGCTTCATATACTGTATCGCTGACAAATGCAGACTGATGGACGGCCTGTAAGACTGAACCCACATCACCACAACCGCACAAGAAAGCCAAACTATTTACCAAACGTCACTAATTTTGTAGTGGGCTGGCGGCTCTATTAATGAATTACATTCTTGCCTTGACCAATTGGGGGGAGAGCCGGTCATTTTTTTCTAAACAGGAGGAAACGGTCCCCTTCAGCTGAAAATGACTGATCGGCTAACAAAATCCTCACCGTTACTTCAACCGCTGTGTCTTTAGCTCTGGTCAGGAGTGCAGCCAGAGGCTTTGGGCCCCATTACAACACATTATATAGCCCCCCAACCCAGACAAATCCAATTATGCTCCAAACTTATAGGGCCCCTGTCACTCAGGGATTCACATATCAGTCAGAATCGTGCAGCTATACTCCTCTGTTGCAGACAAAACAAGGCAAAAAAGTCAAATGAATCAAATAATAATAAGTCCAAATGCCAAGGATACACACAGGATATTCAGGTGTACAACTGCAGGTGCCCATGGTAGTGGGCTCAATGCAGTTCATGATGAGCCCTGTTACTCTGATATTCATTAATCAATTAATTTTTAAAAACTTTATTTGTGTGTGTGCACATGCATGTGTGTGTGTGTGAGAGAGAGAGAGAGAGAGAGAGAGAGAGAGCGGGTATACCCCACAATGTGATGAATACCTGTTTTTTTTCCCTTATGGGAGAACTCAATTTAATAAAAGTCTGTGACTGCAATGAAAAAACTAAAAATGCAAAAAATCTTGTATTTTGCTTGGTTACTTATGATTATGGCTATTAGGGCTGGGGTAGGAGTTAAGGTTGTCATACTTAGCGTTAGCATTTTTCCCATAGAAATGAATGAGCGGTCCCCATAAAGGTATGTTTACCTGACGTATGTGTGTGTGTGTGTGTGTGTGTGTGTGTGTGTGTGTGTGCACCCTTCCATGGGCTGGTGCCCTATCCTTGATTATTCCCTGCCTTGTGCCTGTAGATTCCAGAATAATTTCTGGACCTCATGACCCTGAACTGGACTGCAGGTATGGGAAATGGATGAAAGGGTGGAAATCCCACTAGTTATTCTTTGTAGCTACAGTGATTGCAAACAACATTTTCAAATGACTGCAGATTTGTTCCTAATTGATATTTTAGTTCTTGTCAATCAAATCTTCGGTTATTTACAGATGATAAAGTAACATTGTTCTGTATAACAAAATGAAACCAGTCTACTCAGTTTATTTAAGCAATTAGTTATAGCAATAATCAAGTCAAGCAATATTCATAATTAAATAAATGATGTAGACTACTACAACTGAACACACATTCAGCTTTGTTACTCAAATCAGCTAAGTGGAGTCAAAACAAGACCCTAAAAGGCAGAAACGAAGCAGATTGTGCTGGTGAGATGGGGGGGGTGGAGCTCTGTGTGGAAAGGAGGCAGGGCTATGAACCTGAACGCAGAGACCGGCTCGACGGGCGACGGCGTTTAATTCACTGCTTTCGAGGTTCACGATCCACGCTTCCTGCTTATGTCAGTGCGTTGATTCCCTGGTCAAACAGCGATAAAGTCTAATGGTCTGCTGTCCAGCGTGCTGTGGGTATGGAAGGTGAAGCCTCTTGAACAATCTGGGGGAATTGTTACCTTAAGGTAAGAAAGGTAAGAGATACTGCGGATTTGCTCCCGTCCATGTTATAGATAGCCGTTGACTTTAAGTAAAAAGTTTCGACTGTTTTGGGTATATTGCCTATTCAATCTAGTGTTATTTTTATTTGTTTGTTTATTTTATTGTCTTTGGTATGCATCCAGAAAACGAATATAATTCAGCCCTTACAGGTGTTACATGCTTATTCCAGGACTTTATTCCAGTTGCCAGGTGTAGCTGCTGCAAATTTACTTTCCAGTATTGATTTAAATAAATAAATGAAAAAGTTAAAACTCGAATCAATCTACAGTTTTCCATGGTGAATGGAGGTTTTTTTTTACGTGCGTGGAACCTTAAACTACTGCAAAATGAATTACGTAGCAATAAGACAAAGACAGTGAATACAGTTTTAGTAAAATGGCTCTTGGTTATCTATTTACTTATAAATAATGCAAACCGTATTCAAAGATTTTACTGTTCCTTAACAACACCAAACATTTAAAACTTAAAAAGGGCAAAGAATGACAACATATATTGCCTTAACAGCGGGCAGTGCTTAATAAACAGTTTTTATAACTAGGTAAAAATTGTTAATATATTTGCGCGTTATGTAGGCCTAATGGGATTTAGTGGGGAAGTAGTGCGTATGTGTCACCACAATTAGGGAAGTTAAGCCGTTCTTAGTTAAGTCTAAGAAGGCCAGTTATTGCTGCAGTTTAAGAATAAATAAAGAAGAACTTTAATACATTTGCATCCTCGTCTCCGGCATTGCTCACCGAAACAACTATTATCAGTATGCAACAAAAAATATCATTTAACTTCGCGTGCTAAAATTATTTCTTGCAATATTGAAATTCAGTTACTTTATCATCTGTAGTATATGGTGACAGTGAATATACGACCGCCTTGTCCGATACATCCTACATCCTGCACTCGTGTTGCAATTTATCAGAATTCTTTAAAAAGGACTTTAGTCCAATTGTTACTTGCTGACATTTAATCCAGAGAATGTCCATATGGGATATCTCTGCATTTCTTTAACCTGGCAATAAATAGCCCAGAATTATGTTTGCTGTGTTTAGTGAAGCTATGACATTGTAAAATATAGTTTTTTGTGTGTCTGTGTGTATGTAGCTTAAAATCTACTGGTATGGGTCATGAAACTCTTGCACTTTTTTTTGTGCTTAAAGCAGAACAAAGCACACAAACTGAAGTCACCATGGATTTTCTCATAGATGTTTTTGTTGCACAATATAAGTTTTAAACCGAGATATTTCAGGACTTTAGTGAAGGATTTTATGCTTGTTTGCTTATTAGCTTGTTTTTCTGTCTGTCTGTCTGTCTGTCTGTCTCGCTCTCTTCCCTTAAAGATTTGTCTTAACAGCCCACTCATATATACTTAAGGACATGAGCCATCCCATTTAGAAACCTTTTAAAATGTCAATAAAAAATTATGAAAGTGATGAGAGTGTATGAAATGGATTGTTACGACCATACTTTTATGGAAAATATTTTGGATGAAGTGGTCATTGTTATCTTAGATTATCATTTTAACTTTCGTAAGACCTTTGAACCGTGTTGAAGCATGTGAGCCTGTCTAGGCTGAATGCTGTCTTAAAATCGCATGCACAGCTAGTTCTCAGAACTTAACCTTAAAGGTATGAGAAGAACTTTTTCAGCATATTAGATTAACAGATTATTATATAATATGTCGTACAGCAATCAGTTTCTAAAATTCTTGGGACATCTTTCCCTTCTGTAGAAGAATTCTTTTACAGATGGTTTATCATTTACATATAATATAAGGCAGTGGTTCTCAATATACAAACTGATTGATATTAACTGTTTGTAGTTCTGCCACTATACAGTAGTGCTGCTACAGTTCATTTTCTTTTCTAACCATTTTACCTCATTACAGTTTGGACTGTTTGCTCTGCTGCTCAGTACTACGTACATACAATGGTCATAAAGTTAATAGGATCTTAATTATATAAACAGCAGTTTTTTCACGGAATTTAGATTTCACTGAACTATTCAGCAAAATGGCATAAACATACTTTTATAACATTATTTATAATAGTGGAGGTACGATGTGTACAGTAAGCCACCAAATGTCCTTGGTATTTGATTTGCTTCTTTGGCAATTGGTGCGTCTTTTAACAGCTAACAAACACCGTCATGAAATTCAATCGATGCCCCTGCTTACAGCAGGGCCGCATTTTCTCACCTTCAACGCCTGCTTCTGCAATTGAATATCTAGAAGGAATCAGACCACAGTGCTTTAATAATGTAAAGCCCTTAATTTTTCATTATGGCAGCAGTAAGTGATGTACTGTGTCTGTCTCAAAGCATCAGCTGGCACCAGCCCAAGATCATGTTACAGTGTCCCGCCACCTCAGTCTGCTACTCTACACCTGATCTAGCACCTTCTCAATCCAGCCACACGATGTTAACTGTTGTCAAAGCAGCTTCTGTTGCCCAGAACTCATTAATTCTTGTTTGTCGCACATTGGCAATGTTCTAACGATTCAGGATGACACCGTAGGAAAATAGTTTAAATGTAAAATGCCCATCAGTATTGCCATTTAAAAGTCTTGGCATATAAAATGTTGCAAAGTAAACTCCCTTGTTAATACCACATTATTTATTAATGAAACATGACTGTATTGACAGGGATTACATTGCTCATACTAAATCGTAAAAAAAAGTCCTTTGTGTTTGAATATATAACACAATAAAAACTAACAAGAATTCTGTTCTACAATAAGTTACTGATATCCTGTTGTATGGCTAGAAGATCACAGCTTCAGTTCCCAAACCTCTCCTCAGGGGCACCTCAGCCGTTTCATGCATTCACTAAATTTCACCACTAGCTCAATTTATTAAATAAATAAGTGAAAAAGGGAGAAAGGCAAATAGTCAAAAATTAAGTGTTTTTTTTGTTTTTTTTTTTTTAAGTTGCTGCAAATACTATATATTTCGGCTGTGAATCAATAAAATAAAATTAAAAATAACTAATTAATTGCACCTAATATTAAATCTTACAATCATAAATATTAACACAATATATCTCTAAATGAACGTGGAATTAACATTTATCAATTTGTTTGTTTGTTTTTCCCTCCTATTGAATACCATTGGTATGAGCTAAACTGTTAAATAACTATATTCTTTTTTGTGCTTTGAAGAATAATTTAACTAGTTCTAGAATTAGACTTTTACTGCTGAAAAAAAGCTATTAAGAAATATGGCTGAAGAAAAGCGGGATACATGATTGTTCATTAAATAAAGGTCAGTTGAAAGAGCACCATTTTTTGCTAATGTAGTATTATGTTGTGAAATCTGTTACCTGTGGGAAAGAATAATATGAAAGTGGCAGATGGAAGGATTTCAGACTATTTATAAGCAAAGCAAAGAAGAAAACGTGCCGTTAACAATTATTAAACAAATATAAATGCTACAGTAAGTGTGATAAGCATGAAAGTCTTAAATGTGAATGATTCCTTTTCTCTAGAGTTACAATAGACAATAAAGTGTCAAAAGGTATAACACACATACATGTATTCACCTAGGAATTTATCAGGAAATCCAACTTGTAGAATATTCTGTCTTGTTTTGGTATATAAATATTGGGTTAATTTGGTTCTCTGTCTGCAGCACCTAGCTGTTGGTCATCGGCCTTTCTGGCTTATCGGCTTGAGCTTTCCGGACTAATCCATGCAGCATTACGTAAGATGGTTATATGCAGCAATCCTTAGCTTCAGCTCTAAGACCAATTATTAGATCATGTCTACGTTTTTTTTTTTTTTTTTTTAAATCAATGTACAGTTGAGAAATTAACAATAGCTACCTTGTGATAGCAGGAGCTCTGTGAATATCATACGTCTGCATTGTGTAACTACAAAAGATACATTTAAAAGATTGATAACATTTACACTGCAAATTAAAAAAAACCCATCCATCCATCTACTAACCGCTTAAGCTGCTCAGAGTTACAGGGGGGCCTGGTGTCTGTCCCACGTGATATTTCGCACAAGGCTGGGCTACTCCCTGAACAGGATGCCAGTCCCTCGCTGGGTTCATGTACAAAATTAAATATTCTGTAATTTTCACAGATATCTCTTAAGCCTTTACCTACAAAATCATACGTAAGTGATTTACATCAGCTATAGTCTTTTACATGCAAGCTTCACGTCATGAGTTTCTCCAGTAAAATATTAATCTTTGAACAAATAAAGCTTAAGTGCTCAGCATGGACAAAATCACCCTGCTGCACATGTGCGACTTTCAAATTAGCTTTAGATGGCAACCGAGCTGCAGTGTTTTTTTCTTTTCTCAGTTAAAAGTGTTAAAACCCAGAGTGGTAAGTTGGCTCAGTAGGTAACTAAGTGGCCTCCAGGTTGTCGGTCCAAATCCTGCCTTGGTGCTCTGTCCTTGCGTGGATTTCCTCCCACGATGCCTCTACGCTGCCCGCAGCATGTGAGTGTGCACCCTGTCACGGACTGGCATGCCTTCGGTCGTATTTTCAAGTAGCGTCTTCCATCTTTTGCATATGAGAAAAGTCAAAGGCGCCGTTACATTTCTGAGGACTGTGTGTCATCATTTCTTAGTATCCCTGCCTAGTCAGAAATTGTAATGACAGCTCTGCTCTTTGCTCATTCAAAAGCCATTTTTTAGTCTTCAAAAAAGGTCTTGCCTCAAGACAAAGACGGACACACAGAATTATAAATGCTAAGGTAAATTAGCATAACATGCACACAACATTGGGACTTAAATACTGAGATTCATTGGGCATCTGCTTTTACTGTTCCATATTATTCCGTAATCTACAAGCCTTATAGGTAAAAGGCTTTACAACAAATTATTATGTATGACAGGAAGTGCAAGCTGGGGCATGTTCTGTCCATAGGAAGGCATTTCAGAACAAGTACAATATGAGCATATTTCTGTCTATTCACTACTCTTGTTGAGGCATTTTTCATTTGCTGTAGGATTCAGTGTGTGATTCATCCCCCCTAGAGGCAAACCAATATAGGAGTCTAATCTGAATCAACTAGTTCAGTCATTCATCTATTAGGCACGTCTTAGATAAAGTATTAAAATAATTACTTTTAAAAAAGATGCGTAATTGTGAATATTGATGCTGGCACAGTTTAAGTCATTTATGCATAGAGTTGATAATTAGTTATTAACTATAGTAGAGCTTCAGTTTTCTCCCATATTATGGAGAAATGAAGGCAGTGTGTCAGTAATTCTGTTTGACATGCTATTTCTATGTGACCAACACATAAATGAAAATTAATTTATTACTTTTACAAGTGTTGCCTAGCAATGGCACATAGAGGGACTCCATATGATCTGTGACAACATGCAATTATTATTTTGCTAAAGTAATTGGTTACATGCTACCAGGCCATCTGCAGCAACAGCTGTTACCTTGAACTGGGTGATATATCAAGTTTTTAAGATATATCTTGTATGATGATATATCGATATGAGACAATATAATTTATATCTATATAGTTTATACCGCCAGTTTGCCTATTTCTCCTCTCCCTGTCTGTCTCTCAGACATCTGCACCCTCCCCCCCACTCACAAGTTTTGCATGCAGTGACAGCATGGAGACAGACACAGACACGAGGCAAGCTAGCGATGCGGAGCTGGTTGGTAAAATATATATGGCGGTAGTTTGTTTTTGAGTCATTTTTTTCATGCACATATACAGCTGGCTGTTAATAAAAATGCCTGTGTGACTTGGAACTGACTTATTGTTATTAGTTGATGGGAAATATATGGATATATATCGTATATCACCATTCAGCTAAAAAATATCATGATATGATTTGTGGTCCATATCGCCCTGCCCTAATGTTACCCATCCTGACCCTATGTTTGCGTCCCATGGACATAACAGTACTGCAAACAAGATATAGTTATTATTATTATTATTATTATTATTTATTATTATTATTATTATTATTATTCATAGTATAGTAGTAGTAGCAGAAGTAGTAGTAGCAGAAGTAGTAGTAAATAAAAGGAAAACCACTGTCCTGACATGCGAGCACATGAAGAACTCTACACTATTATGACATGGCCTTGAAAAATGAAACAATACCCCCCCACCCCGCATATGATTGCGACCTCATTAAAAATTAAATATTCATTATCAGTGAAATATAACGTTTCACTTTTGTCAAAGAAGGAATTATGTTGCTCCAGAAACCAGATTAATTAATCTTTTTATTATCTGTAATCCATATAAATATGAATTATTGTAGATTTTGGCACTGAGCGAGACTCCATAAGCTGTAAGGCTTAGAAGATTTGTTTACAGAATTAATATTCTGGTCACTTATTCATCATAGTTTCTCATGAGTAAGAGTAGAGTAGAATAAGTAAAAGCAAGTAAAACCTTTTAAATGGTCAGAGAACATGTTTGCCATGGATTTTAATTCATTTAAGTCCCACGTAATTAGATTCTGTTATTCTGGTGAAGAGTAACATTGTCTTTTGATGATTTTGGACTAGATTAATTTCTTATGTGCCAAGGGTTTCTTGACATTCACTTAATGTTATGATATAAAATTTGTGGGGAATAACGTGATAAATTATGTATAAAGACCTGGCGATGAAGGTGGTCATGCGTCCATAAAATCCATGCCTTTTTCAATTTGTTAAATCAACATATAATGAAATGTTAAATATTCTGCAGTTTCATTTATGTCCTGCTTATGAACTTCAGTGGTATATTATGGGATGATTTTAATCAGACAGAAAGTATGCCCTATTTTTCTTTGAGAAATTGAAATGGAACGATGATGATGATGATGATGATGATACAACAATTCATAGTTCTCATTTCACACAATGTAACAATGTAGTACAGCTTTCTTCACAATTCACAATTGACCAGAAACTAATGGTAGGATTTTTAAAAATCTGCACTCTTAAAGTAGATTCAGTGTATACAGCTGTATTCATCTCTACTGTAGGTTATCTGGTAGAAACGGAATGCCAGTTCCATCAGTACAATGAGTATTTTGTCAAAATGAAAATGGAAAATGAACAAGCTGTTATATTAACGTAATAGTACATTGTTCCCATTTATTGTACTGAGAAAATATTATGTTATGATGGTGACATCATCAGGTGCCATATCCTGTCAGTCATTTAAAAGAGATGTCAAATGAGAGGAGTAAGAATGATAGCCTTCATAAGAGATGGCTTGAAAGGTACAAATAGAATGGAACTGAATGGAATCTTGGACAGTGGCCTTCACGCATTAGTAACATTAATATTAAAATGATATAATGCTGATGCCCGTCTATTGCACGGCACACATTCACACTCACAGAGGACATTTCCCCCATAGAGGCGGCAATAATCTAATACGCTAAGTGTCTTTGGATTGGGGGGGAGTCACTGTGGCTCAGAGCCTGGGCAAGAACTGAAGCCATAACTCTGGCAGTGCAAGGTCACTGACTCACTGCAACATTCTATTATGTTATATTGTCAAATTCAGCTGAAGTATAGGATTATCTTATCTGATGCCAGGTATGCATATTAGGATAAGTGTTTTATCTTTAAATTGAATTTTTTTGTTTATTGTTTTCTTTTATTGATTCAGGGGCTATTTGGGTTGCACTTCTAGGGCTGATATATTTCTAGGGCTGATATCTCTAAATTGTCTATAATTGTGCCTTGTGGTTCCTGGCATTAGCTCCAGGTCCCTTTGAACCTCTTCTGTAGGAAATAAAATTAGCATTGAATATATGCATTTGAATTTATGGATTTTCTTACTGTGTAAGAAAAATATCCTTCATTGCCTTCAGGTAAATAGTTCATTATAGGTTAAAAATGCAAGTTTTAATAATTATTTCTGTTGTTATTGCTAACCTGCTTTAACGGTAAGTAGAAAGGATCTTATCACCTAACAGTTTTTTTTTGGGTGTTGATTTTCAAAAGTTTTGTCTGCATCCAGGAGGATTTCTCACACGATGAGGGGAACAACTGGAGCTTCACTGATACTGTCACTGCTGATCTCCAGGCTACTGGGGGCTACCTGTAAGTACGCAGCTTATGTATGATTAACTGTTGACCAACCTCTTTAGTGTACTATGCAGTGCTACTTTATAGGAATGTATGCACAGATAACAGCTGTTTAATCACTGGGTGAAATCAAAAAGTTAGAACCTTGTCATTACCTTAAACGTAATCCATCCAACTATCATCGACATATGATCAATTTCATATATGTTTTTCAAGTACAAGCTGAATTTCAATGCTCTCAAAAAGGGTTTTTGAAAAGGCTTGTACCACATATGTATATATCTGCGTGTGTGTGTTTATGTATGTATATACATATATATGTATGCATGTGTGTATGTACAATGGCATACCAAACAGGAAATATTTAACCACCTCTGATATGTATGGAATGAATACCAATATATGTCGAATCATCAAAGATGATAGATATACAATGAAACTTGATATATTTATACAATGAAATCGGATATATATAAAATTAAACCTGGTATGTATTATAACATTCTATGTACACACACGCATAATGCGTCTGTATTTAAAATTTGACGAGCACCCAATAATAGGTAAGCAGCTTGGAGCGCAGTCAGAATGGAAAGGCGCTCATCCTTCACTGCTGCCCTGGCTTTAGGTCAGTCTCCCCCAGGGAAGCCCAAGCTCACCAGCTGCCGATCTCCAGAGAAAGAGACCTTTAGCTGTTGGTGGGAGCCGGGCTCGGATGGAGGACTGCCCACCAATTACTCCCTGTATTACCGCAAGGAGAAGTCAGTGCTGCCCACTCATTACGTTTTATTATATTTATTGTATTATGTTTATAAACAGTACAGCTATTTATATATTTTAGCGGAATTTAGTCAGATCATTATAATGCAGAGCTGAAGGTGTTTAAGATACTGTGTATAAGTTACAATAAATATTTTAATATGATCAATACGATAAGGTACTACCAAAATGACATGTAATTAGACAGATAGAAGCAGCTGCTCATTATGTGCCAAAATACTTATTCAAGCAGCATAATAGCTATATACCAAATGCTACAGGATGTCTATATGTCTCCATCGTTTGGTCAATACAGTATGTCTGTCATATATCACACACATTGTAAGTGCCTTTGCTCTGTACCCATACAGCTCTGAAATTGTCTATGAGTGCCCGGATTACCATACTTCGGGAAAGAATTCCTGCTTTTTCAGCAAGAATGATACTTCGATTTGGGTGAACTACAACATTACAGTGGTGGCAACCAACTCCCTAGGAAGCAACTTCTCTGACTCTGTGGATGTCGATGTGATGTACATTGGTGAGCTTTTGTGTAGATCAGTATTTCACTTTTTGTAGTATTCAATATCTGTTTCTTCAGTAGTTCACAAAGGTTTATAGAATTAGCAGCTATAGCAACAAATACAGCAATTGCTTGAAATAAATCTGTTAAGATTCATAGATTCAATAATCATTCATTAATGATGAACAAACATGAGATCAAAGTACATTAATTAATAGAACTAACAGATAAGTCTCGTTTTTACTGCCGCAAACCTACTTATTGGTTCATTAGACTCAGTTATATAATTACTAACATTTAGTAGGGAGATAATGACTATGTACACTATAAAGTGATGGTTATATTTTATGTTAACACTAAGCTGAACAATTTACTGCTAAGTACATAATCAGTAATTTATTTGTAACAAAAATTTAATTAGTGGGCAATTAATACATTAAGCAATAGTTAATTCCTGAAAATATTTACAAATGTGCAAAGATCAGTTTAAAAAATTTAATCATTTGACAGCACTAATATATATAATTATATAATATAATATATATTAGTGCTGTCAAACGATTAAATTTTTTAATCAGATTAATCACAGGGTTGCTGTGGATTAATTTAGATTAATCACGATTAAATATCATACATTTTTAATCTCTATTAATCGCATTTTATTTTGCATGAGCAAACAGACTCAAGAACAAAGGGAATATATATGCACTTAACATGTTTATTGAACATCTTGAACACGAGTCAGATGCATTCCACCTACCACAGAAGTGCAATACCATGGACCCATATCAAAAAGCAAGATTTTTTGCTTAGCCGGACAACTTGTCGGATTTAAGGTACCTCAGTTTAAATGGTCTTTATCTCCGTTCACTTACAATTAGCCCGAACTACCGTAAATCCGACAAATAATCCGACTAATCGTGAAATCCAGTTCTAGCCCCACTAATTGCCATTGTTAGTAATATCAGTTAACACATTACGCGCGGTGCTTTACGTATAAAACTCCGTAGCAACACGTCCACAGATACGACCGATTTAATGAGCCACAAATGAGAAGTAGTGCTTAAACAGTATAAAACTACAACTTTCCCTTCTGTTGATAAAAGGCGCAGCCATCTTGGATTCTGAACTCGGGATCCTCTGTGCTGCTCCGAGATATTTCTTGGATCTCCGAGAAATGAGAGCGTGCATGCTGTCACATCCGGCTTCAAAACTCGGAATCGGACTCGGAATACGAGTTCCCAGGGCAAATGGAACGCGCTAAAACTGCCCTAAATGGGTTGACAGAGACATTTCAGGGATTTTGAGTCATTCTGCGCTGCAGATGGGTTAATTGCGTTAAAAATGTTAATCAGATTAATCATGATGATGGATTAATCCGCGTTAACCCGTTAATTTTGACAGCCCTAATCTGACAAACAATTAAAAAATTTAATCAGATTAATCACAGGGTTGCTGTGGATTAATTTTGATTAATCACAATTAAATATCCTTCATTTTTAGTCTACATTAATCGCATTTCATTTTGCATGAGAAAACAGACTCAAGAAAAAAGGGAATATATATGCACTTAACGTGTTTATTGAACATCTTGAACTCGAGTCGGATGCATTCCATCTGCCACAGAAGTGCAATACCATGGACATTAAAAAACATTCTTCACACATTTTCTTGCAAACTTTGCATGGCACTCTAAATGATCTTCTCACAATGTGCTTTGAAATAAACACCTAACTATGCAGGCCTGAAAAAAAATTGTTTATTAATTTGAATGCTAATTTATTCTTTATTTTATGTAAATTAATAAGAACAATTAAACAACAGCTAAATTTCATGCACTTTTTTAAAAATGTTTTTTAACAGTCCAGCCACACACGCCTGAGAATGTGAGTGTTGTTTTGGAGGGGACGGAGGATAACCCTTTCCTGCTGGTGACATGGGAGCCCCCCCACAAAGCGGACACCCGGTCCGGCTGGATCACGCTCGTCTACCAGCTGCGTGTCAAACTGGAAAAAGATGACAAGTGGGAGGTACACGGGGCACAATGTCATGCTGCTGCTCAGGTTGTGCTATAAATAGTGTCGGTTTTCCATTGGAGCATACAGCGCTGAACAAGTGACAAGCAGAGTCGTAGAATATAATTACAGACCTGGACAAATAGAATTAATCTCTTAGGGCAGCATTGTCCTTCTTTTCTACTAGTTTAAATTTTTAGAACAAATATTGACTTAATCATTTACCTCTGCGACCAAGGTCTGGGCTGTTAATTATACATTATTCTAATACTGAATAGAACACTAAAGATTACAGACCTACAGAACAAAACACATTATTTCAGATATTTAAATAGCATAAATAATTAGTACATTTACACTTCATTTAGGAATTCCTCATGTATGATTTACGTAAGATATTTCACAAAAGGCTAACATGGAAAATAGGAGTGATCTCTGGATACTCCCGATGCGTGATGACTTGCCTGTATTTTTGAAGGAACACTTTGCCGGTCAGCAGAAACAGTTCAACATCTTCAGCCTGCACTCTGGGGAGGTCTACATGGTGAAGGTGCGCTGTAAACCAGACCACGGCTTTTGGAGCGAGTGGAGCACCACCCGCTACGTGAGAGTCCCTGACTGTAAGCTCCTTTTGACTTACCGTCTGCACACTACCGCACTGAGAAACGATCCTGCCACATGTGAACAACACCTGCATTCACTCACTGCAATTTTGGGTAACGATTTACATTAACGGCACCAACATAATGTATTCATTATGCATTCATAGAACATTCAGTGCACCTTCATAAAGCATTCATAGAACATTCATAAGCGTCATGTAAGTATACCTTAACATCCTAACAAACCTGAACACCTTTAATGTACATTGCTAACAAAGATCAAATGATTATACTATTATAATGTTAGGGTTGTTAACTCTCACGCTTTCAGACAAGAAATCTTACGGAAAATCTATATTATTCCATAATCAACCTAAAATTAGCTACACCAAAAGCACTGGGGTAGTTTGCAAACCCTACAGACTATGTACAAGGTAATAAAATTCTTCTAAACACTGTAATCACTGTTGCACTTTACATCACTGTGTCTTTGTTCAACTACCCTGTGTGCCTTAATTGCCCCTAGGGAACAAATGTTTTTTTAATTGAATTGAATGAATTAAAATGCTTACATGCATGTAAATGCGTGTGCATGTGTGTGCAGACTTGTCTCGATATGAGAGTCCAAAAACACTGGTCAAGTCTCGTGACCCCTTTCGATGCAATAATATGCACCAAATGGGGGGGGGGGAGTCCCACAATAAAAATTTCCTAATGGTTTCCCAACGGGTTTGCCAACTGAAAAATGATTTTGCAGTTTGAGGACTAGTGTAAATAACATTACCGATATAGCTGTGCAACAACCAATATATATTTGATATTTTCTTATAAGCTGTTAAACATGATCACCCACCCATTTCTCATAAGCGTAACCCAGCACATGTTTGTGGAGACTGGAGCCTGTAGCCAGGATGCTCCCTCTACGGGATGCCAGTGCCTTACTCGCTGGACAGTACCGTAATTGTATATCCTTCAACTATGGAAGGAAACTCTCACAATCAAGGGAAACCACCATGCATCCCCAAATGACTGTATTTCTCTCTTTGACTTAGATGTGGAATGTACGTATAAAACTGATGAGTCAGTTCAAATTGTGTATTTGAGGACAGGGTTGGATATCATAATACAATACAACTGACATATGGGTACTGATTTGAAATATTTTCAGTACAACGCATCGATAATTTCTGAAATGTAAATATTATGCCATTTTTATTTAAAGATTTTTTAATATTTTCAATATGACACATTGAAATTCAAAATTTACCTTCATGGGATTAATAAAGTCCATCTTATCTTTAAGTTCATCTTATTATGATTAATTAAAAATGAAAATTTGTTTTTAAAAAAGGTTAAACACGGTCATCAGTTATTCCTGTCATTTTGCCATTTAAGGTATGTGCTGCATGTTTTTCTCTTTTCAGATATTTCCAGAGAAATGTCCAGTTGGATTCTGATCCTTACCTTCTCGGCGTTGATTTGCATTGTCTTCGTTTGGACTGCCCACATGAAGAGAAACAGGTCATATATATTTACGTCCTATCACAGACAGCACTGAGATGCAAAATTCTCTTTCAGAACTTTTAGAAAAATGTGTTCCAGGGAAAAAATGAGGAAGAATTTGCTCATAAAAATAAGAATTTGGTAAAAATGATGACATCGAGAATAAGTTAGATTTCATGGTTTTTTGACTTATTGTTATATTAAATGCTACAACTATGGAAATAATCAGTGTACTAATTCCAATATTTGCATACTTCAAAAAGCAGGAATACACCCACAAAGCTAATATATAATGGCAAAGTGCAAATCTTACTGACCTCTGGCTCCTACACAATCATTACTATTTCAGCTTAAAATAATTCTGCGAAATGCTTGTTTTGTTATCTCTCATTTTGGTGTGTTATCTCATTTTCACTCAATAGTAGCAATATGATCAATAAACATTAATGAATACGTGGACATTTATTCTTCCTTTGGTTTTTCTTTGGTTCTAGTGTGAAACATTTTCTTCTGCCCCCTGTACCTGGACCAAAAATCAAAGGATTTGATACGCAACAGCTCAAGGTACAGTACAGATGTTATATACATTCCTGCTAAATGCATTTCACCCATTTCACAACATCACATTAATGCAAAGACTGTTGGTTAATAATGTGATTATTATATACTGTAGAAGTAATTGCTGCTTAAGAAGAAAGCAATCTGATGATATATAGAAGATATAGTTGATGTTCCTCATATGTCTTTTCTTTTTTAACACAGAGTGGAAAATCAGATGAGATATTTAGCACTTTGGTGGTCCAGAGTTTCCCACCACCATCAGACTATGAAGATCTGCTGGTGGAGTATCTGGAGGTATATGATAATGAAGAACAAGAGTTAGTGTTTGACAGGAAGGACCAAGAAGGCGGCTTGAAGTCCAAGAGTTCCTCAGACACTGATTCTGGCAGAGGCAGTTGTGATAGTCACAGTTTGCTGATGGAGAAATGTAGCGAGTCCAGAGAGGATCAGACCTTGATATCTCAAGTCAAAATTAGCGAGGCAAGTCAAAGGGTGAACGATGACAGTCATGCCGCCGAATGTGCTGACGTTACTACACAAACCTGGCCCATGATTTCACCTTATTACCACCATGACCAAAAACCTTGCTACCAGAGTATTCCTGAAATGTCTGAGCAGCACTGTGTACTGGACAGCCATTTATTTCTCACCCAACAACAGGACTACTGGGAAACCTCAGCAGAACTTGACCAGAAGAATCCTTACACTGGCTACAGCTGCGTTCAGGCTTACAGCGAAATTAACATTAACGGCATTGCACACGCAGAGCCTGCAAGCCCTCAGCCTGTGTTCGTGGAGTATGTGGAGGTTCAGCACGTCAACCAGGAGAACACCTTGATACTAAAGGCCATTGCCCAGGAGGAGCACGGTCAGTTCCGTCGGGAGATGACGGAACATCACTACAGCAAGGTTAACGGGATGGTCTGTGACAATGTCCTTCTCATTCAGAGAGAGGCAGCTTCTCAGTGCCTCGGTGATTACCAGGAGGAGGAGAATGCCCTGGAAAGTTGTACTCAACAGACGGCTGGAAAGCCAACAGTCCATCCGCAGGTAGCCTTAGCACAAGAGGGGCTGCACATAACCCTTAATGGCTATGTGGACACAACAGCCATAATGTCCACTTACTAATAAGCATCGTGTCACAAACTATTGCCGCTGTCTGTCAGAATATTAACAAATATTAACAAATGCCCAAAAATATTCTTTTAAAGCTAAATATGAAATTTTATAAAAGTTTGCACAGAGATTGTTGTTTTGTTTGGGAACCTTTGGGTATTTCGAGGTAACAAATCTCTACCCCTATTAATAATAATTACACATGGATTTAGGTACACAAGTAGTACAAATACACAGATTTTGTCAGATATTCAGCTGGGATATGCAATGCTCACAGAATGGCTGGGGACACTTGCTTAATTCTGTAAAAGTGTTCCAAATTCATTGGTTGCATAACATAACTCCATTGACAAGCAATATTTAATATATCTTCATATATCTTCCACACATAAATTACTTTTATCATCATATTTCTTGACCTACCCATTCATTTCTGCTCTGTCCATTTTGCTATTATTTGCAATTGTAGTCACTGACTCATAACAGGATACTAAACACAAATGTTTGGTTTTTTTATGCTATGATGAACATGTCACTGATTAAAAACACCCAATGTTTTACATAAAACTACTGGTTGTTTTTAATGTGAAACATACATTTTAGCAAACACATAAAATCAATAAATTTGCAGCATTTTTACTGAATTAAGCAAGTATACCAAGACGTTCTGAGAGCACTGTAGTTCAGAAACTGATAAAACACTACTCACTACTATAACACTACTATAATTTGTAGTTATTTTATACTTTTGGTACTGTACTTTTAAATGTATCCAGAAATGATATTTCATTGATGCACTGACATCCTGTCCAACACACACCTCTGCCTTATGACCTAGACTGCCTGGGACAGACATGGACCCAGTCCAGAATGAGTGCGTGGGAGGTGGGTGCACAGAAATTATATTGTAGTTAAAATTAATAGAATTCTGGTTAAAAATGATTTTGTTGAAACAAAATCCTATCTTAATAGTCATGTAATTTAAAAAATTCTTATTGAACTGCAATCATGATCTGGGACTGGTAAAGGAATGAATTTCATACCCAAATGAGTATGAATGGTTTTTACTGTGCATGTACAGACATTTATTGTGACAGTGTTTATTATATTCAAGCAATGTTTTATTTCTTTATAAAATTAGGATTATAAACACCGTGTCCCAGTACCTCAGTGATGTCATATTGTATAAAAATGTAGTTTTTATATTGATTAAACAATTATCTAATGTAGTAATCAAAAACAATACTTACTTTAAATATATTTTTATTGGGCTAGGACATAGAATATGGTTTTATAGATGCAAGTAAAACAAAAAAAATACAATAAATATATAAAGACTATTGCCAACTACAATGTTAATATACAATGTGGGTGCCAATCAAATATTGCTTATATTACTATTACATATCAAGCATGAGCTGAAATCCCATAAATGTGAAAGTGGAGAAATTTAACTGACAAATTCAGCCTCATACCACCTGGGTTGTGGGCTCTGTTCTTGCACCCAGCCCTGCCTCGAATTTGCACTTCGTCCTCATATTCGCACAGGTTTTCACTGGACACTGCAGTTTCCTCACAAACGGGTGGTTATATTTTGTTTGTGGAAAAACTTTGTAAATGACTCATGGTCTGTGTGAGTATTTGCCCTATGATGTACTGGCCCCCTTCATCCCTGTGGCCCCTGGAATAGGCTCTGGACTCACTACTGCTCTGTAATAGACATAGATAGATGTATGACTGTAAATATGTAATGAAATCATATACCGGTATATATATATATATGTGAAAATGCACTCAGTGGCCACTTTGTGAGTTACATCTACCTGGGACCTGGTGGCGACCACATGTACCTGCAGAACTGCTTCAAAGTTCACTAAGTTCAGGGTTTAAGGCTGGTGCTTCCCAACATGCCTTATGCCTTTCAGGCACAGTTATTTATGTGCCTCAGGCCTTCCACTTATCCTTAATGAGTCTGCCCATTCTCCTCTGACCTCTCTCATTAACAAGGTGCTTTTGCCCACTGAATTGCCACTGACTGGATGTGTTCTTGGTTATCACACTACATGGCTCACGTAGCCCATTCTAACTCTTAGCCAAGTTGTAATGAACCTCTTGACCCTGTCTGTGTGTACCTTAGACTGATTTGCAGCCTCATGACTGACTCTTTTGGTTAAGCAGGCCGTTTTCATTAACTGGCAGGTGTACACAACAAGTGGTCACTGAATGTATCATGCAGCTGTTAGCAGACTGTTCAAAAGCAGTGTTGTTATATAATGGTTCAAATAATAATGAATAAATAAATTACAGTTATTTGAAAAATACAAAATGTAATTGTAACAGCACTCAAATTCCTCATAATCAGTTTTTAAGACACTTTCATACTGGTTCTTCATGGAAAAGAAACAAAACTAGTTGAGTATGTATTTTCTAAACCAGTGTTTCCCAACCCTGTCCCCAGGGGACCCACAAATGGTCCATATTTTTGCTCCCTCTCAGGTCCCTGCCAGACAATCCACATTTTTGCTCCCTCTCAGGTCCCTGCCAGACAGTCCACATTTTTGCTCCCTCTCAGGTCCCTGCCAGACAGTCCATATTTTTGCTCCCTCCCAGGTCCCTGCCAGACAGGACATATTGCTGAATGGAGCAAAAATGTGGACCGTCTGTGGGCCCCTGAGGACCAGACTGGGAAGCACTGCTCTAAACCAAGACAGCTTTAGATGTTGACTAGTTTTATTCTACCTTTTTATGTAGTAAATAATAACTACCAAAATTTTCACTTCTGATGGTTTAAGATATTCACATAAAACAAACAAAAGTATCAAAATACTTTGCATCAAAAGGTAGTTATTTAGATAAACAAATATATTTACTGTTTGGTATTAGCAGAAGAATTCTTTAACTGTAGAAATAGAAATATGTGAATTGCATACATATTAAAATGAAAAATATATAATATTTAACTGCGTGGCTCTCTTGTGGGGTAAAGTATTTTTTGACAAAGGATTAAAAACATTTATGGTCATGCATGTTTATGTTAAAGACTACAGAGGTGGATTTATGTTATTGCATAACACTGTGACACATCAATTCCTCATTCCAGCACACTTCCTCAGTGCACCGCTTAGTGTACAGTAAATGCTTTCAGCATCTGTCAGGTTTGCCAGATTTGCATGCTAAGAGTTTGATTTTTTATTTTTTAATTTGGAGAATAATGCAGGATACTGTAAGAAATAAACATGGAAAAAATTAATCTGGATAACACCTTAAGCTATCCATCATATTCATTAGCTAAAGGAGTTGAGAAAAATTTGGATTATTTTCTGTATTCTGTAATGACATACACTGCACTGCAACTAGTACCGCTTCAACAATAGTGTTAAACCAGTGTTTAGATTTTGCATCTAAACAATCAAATATTACTTGTGTTATACTATTTTAGTGGTATTTCTATTACTACTCCTATTATTTCTACTTGTTTGAGCATGTCTGGTTTCAAGGTTCATGCATAAAAAAACACAAGAACAGCAGTACATATCACAAAACTTTAAGCCTTCTATATAGCATTTCAGACAGGGAAAAAAGTAAAAATGTAAACTGCCAACAAGCAAAAACAGTAAATTCCCTTCCATGTAAAATACATTTTTATAACAGTAACAAGCCATCTCTATCCATGACTTGGCAAACACAGACACAAGAATCATATAGGAAGGGGTAAGGAGGTTTTCCCTAAAAACTTAAAAAATCAGTTTGAACACCTGCCCTGGTCAAAGGAGGCTTTCCTTCAAAAGAGGATCTCGGGATTGGAAGGAGGCAGTATGGGCAAGTAAAACTGCTGCCTCCGGCTCAGCCTTCAAACCAACAACAGCATCTCCGGTATTTCATAAGCCTCTTTCCGACATGCACTGCCAACCTGAACCTTCCGCAAACATCCCAAATAGTCATTTAACGCACTGTACCCTGTTAGCTAACTTGTACAAACTTCGAGTAAAATTTCCAATTAACTGCCATGTGCGAATGGGGCAGGATCGCCTCGAGTGAGTGGGCGTGTTGATGACGTTTATATCATGCGACTGGCGCGAAAACCGAAAAATACAAACGTCTGCGGGCGAAGAATAAAAAACAAAGAAGACTCAACGAACATGGTTAGCTGGAGAAATGACGAGATTCGGGCTCTTCTGTCATTAAGGGCTGACGCCAAAATCGTCAACCAGATTCAAGGCACGACAAAAGATTCAGTTCCGTATGATCAGATTACAAACCGGCTACGTGGCCGAGGTGTAATCCGAACCGAGGTGCGCCTGAACGGCAAACTGAAACGGCGCTAGCGGCAGCACCGTCGGGTCAGTGATCACGATGGCCGGGTAGAAACGCCCACAAAACATGGAGCTATTTTCGTTTGTGCGAGGCCGTATGGGGACAATGGGGTTCAAGTCAGTCAAACCTACCTGAATGCTAATTAAAATATTTTCACAGCCAGTTCCTGAAATGAGTGGACCGGTCCTCACTGACTGATGCCAGGAGCCAGATGCACAAAACTTAAGATTTCCCTTAAAGTTCAAGTTAAGGTTTCCTTAAAATAAAATCGGTCGCACACAACACCCTTAAGTCTTTTCCTTAAAATGTTCACTTAAGTATTTCAGTTTTTTTCCTTATCTTTTTTTTTTTTAAAAATGTGTCCTGTCCGGCAGCTTTAGCAAGCATAATAATGGTCTGAATGCACTGCTGTGTCAGACATATTTGCTTTGCCATAAGGGGCTCTATAGACTCTGTATAGGCCCTTCATGTAGGTCAATTTCTTTTTATTTGTATATTTATTGTATTTTATTTTTAACACATGTAAAATATTCCAGTTGCCGAGCTGTCCGGAAGGGAGTGATAGTGAAGAAAAGGGGTAGGGAGAGAGATTAAAAAGGAGGCGAGAGAGGAGAGAAAAAAAAAACAAAAAAAACAAAACACGAACAAAGGGGGAGACAACAGTGGGAGAGAGGCTAAGAAAGACAAGAGTAACGTAAAAAGCACATATCAAGGCAAGGAAAAAAAACAAAAAAAAAACAGCATTTGAAATACAA